CACCACCAATGACGAGTAAGAAGAAGCAATCCCCTAACCGGCCGAGTAGTGATTCTACTTAATTATACTTGTAGTCCCTAAATTAATTATATTTTAACATTTTGTCAGCTAAGTTATTTTTGTGAAATAAACTCCTCTTATCTTAGATAGCAAACCTTCCGGACGAGTCAGAAGTTCTTTTGATGGCAAAACTGTAATTTAAATTAATATAATAAAATATGCAATACTTCCTAAATCGTAATTATAGACTTTACAAAAAATTATTTATATTTTAAATAAATTGATTATTTTATAGTTCATATTACATAAATTTATTATTTATTATATAATCTTTCAAATACTAAAAAGCTGGTATGAAAATATTAAGATGTTCCTCCATTGTTGATTTGTTCCAAGCTGGTATGAAAATCTGAACTCACAACTAGTAGTATTACATAAATTTATTGTTTATTTTAAAATCTTTCGAAACCTAGCTCATAGTACATCACATAAACTAAAATTTACAATGGTTCGCAAAATAAACCAATAGTTGTAATGGTACGTCAAATAAACCAAATGTTGCAATGGTTAGTCAAACCGTGTTTTAGTAATTAGAAAATAAAAAGCATTGTAAAGAGTTTATACTGAAAGAGGACAGACTTATATTTAGAAATTAGAATATACAAAATGTTATAAGAGTTTATACCGAAAGAGGACAGACTTATATTTAGAAATTAGAATATACAAAATGTTATAACAGTTCGCCAAATATTTCAACAATTCAAAAAATAAAATAAAAGCTAAAAATTGCAATGGTTTCGTAAAAAAAACCAAAATGTTTCAACGGTTCAAAACTAAATGGCTGCAATAATTTACAATATATATTTGTATAATGAATTTTTTTAAAAAATAAAATAGAGAAGTATATAATGAAAAATACGAATGTAGATAACATTTATATATATTATTATAGATTTATGAATTATTTTGATAAAAAGGCTTTTTAAAATAAGGACTGTAGTTACCATATTTTAAAATAAGGACACTTTTACTTGGTACATGGAGACTACTAAACTCATGAAACGCTTGAAACGCCAATGTTTCTAGAAAACGTATCAAAGGGGACCGCTTAATGTAGTGCTTGTGTGAGACACAACACACATTATGAATACAACAATGGAATGTGGATATGGAGAATCATATCAAATGCCAAAACAATATTAAAAAAACAGTATTAAGATGATGTTCTTAATTCGTTTCCTCTGAATTAAGCATCTTTTTGGCTTTACTTATTTTAACTTCAAAACCCTTTAGTAATATTCGCTTTTACTTCCATTTTAAATATCATTTCATCTAGCTTACGTTTCGATCTTACATTATTCCTTTGGCTTTTGATTGGACGATCAATGTCTGTTCTTGAGATCTTTAAGTTTGGGAATCTTTCATGCACTTTACATTGTCTAAACCTATGTATAGTTTAATAGTTAATTGTGCTCAAGTGATTGCTTACGCAATGACTAAACATATAGTTTATTTCGTTTTGAGTGGGATCTCTCACTCTCAAGAATTTGTCACACTTCAATTCGATTTATCTTTTGGTTAGTACGTATCGCGTATAACGTGTCTAATTAGTAGAGATGAACAAGTCTCGTTTTCGATAAGTGTAGAATAATATTAACCATTTTCTATTATTAATCATGTGTTATGCAAAGATACTATTGAAAAGAGAGAATATATATGCTCAAATTGACAAGAAAAAAAACAGTTAAGGGTTTAATCCGGTGGAATATTTGTAAAACTTATATATATATAAGCTAGTGGATGATCAATTGCATGCATCATCATGTATAGGCCCATATCAATCCTTGACTCCTTCTTATATATAAACCCCAAAATCAGGCATACTTGGTTCATACCATCATTCAGTTTTAGTGACCTATCGATCGAGGCTGATAATATAACTAGCATGCATGAAGATTTTATGCAAGAAGATGAAGAAAGCAAACTAAAGGAGGTGGTAAGTAAATAAGGAAGGCGACAGAAGAGAGTGAGCACACATGGCTCCTTTTTCTAGCATGCTTATGCTCGAAAGCTCTGCGTGCTTACTCTCTTCTTGTCTCCTCCGATCCTCTCTCTCTTTCTCGTTCTCTCTATATATACATGGCTATGTATATATAAGTATACTTATATCTATCTATATTAAATATGCATTATCATGCATGGCAGCAAATGTTTCTGTATATATGGATATAGATGATCATGAATATCATGTCTTGTCTTTTCATTCACCTTTCGTTTTCTTTTCACTAATGACTTACCTAACGACTCACACACATCGTTCTTCAACCTTCACAGTATTAGCGTAACTCGCCAAATAAGCGTTGAAAATCTCGGAGAGTCGGATATATAACTTGCCAACTTGGCCGTAAAGATGACAATTTGCAAAATCATACTGTTTTCTTTTTTCTTGTTTTTAATTAAATTAAATTACAAACACTAATTACATCAAATATAAAATAAGGCTACACAAAGATCAAATATCTTATATAAAAATTTTCTTTGAAAAAGTGGAGTATCTTAACCTCATAAGATACCCCTAATGAGGATGTCCTATCTTCCTGGTGGACAAAATTATATGCTTAACTAGCTGGTAAAAGTACCTTTCTTCCACCCTTTAGTCTACATTTTATCTATTTTTCTTCTTTTTTTACCATTTTACATCTTTGTACCTATTATTCATTTTTGTCCGGCACATATACTAATCTATATGTCTAAAGACTAAAATCTATAGCATATAATAGTGTTTGAATTATGGACTTTCTAGCTATATGTCGCAAAAGTAATACGGTATCATTAATAGCTGTCGTCTTCGTGCAAACGTTTTCTCCATTTCGAGTTATTTGTTCATATAATCATTAAAAATATGATTAAAACGTATCACGTAACCAAAACTAAGTGAGGGTAGATCTGTTAGTATATTTGTTTCTCTTGATAGACATGATGTTAATTGGAACATTATTTCATGTTGTGTGTGCATAATTTTTGACCTAGCTACAATTTCACACAACGTCTACATCTCTCGAGAGTTCTATATATAATAAGCTGGATTTTGCTCCAATTAAATATAAATTCTATAAAACTTTAACAACCACCCAAAAACAGCTTCGGCTATACATAGATCTATTAAAAAAAAAAGTAATCATGATATCGTTTTCTTGACATTAAATTAAATTTTTGTTGCTGTCACAAAAAAAAAAAAATGAAAGTTTACAATTTGCCTTTACTGTTATAATTAAGAAAAAGAAAAGAAAAGAATTCTAAATGTATTTATATGTATAAGCTAGCCATCTACAATATGGAAAAATACAATAAGGTCTTTTAATATCATTTAGACCTATCTTGTGAGAGTATTATAGTACTGTGCTATATAGAATGTGAATAATTTATGTAAACGTTTTAATTATCTTATTCTCAGTTATCTCATTAGTCTGCTGTCAATTTGGACTACGGTTTTTTTTGATTAATCGTACATATAAATGTGTGTATAAGTGTATATAAGAATATTGTAGGCTTACTTAATAAAGTCAGAGAGTGACACAATGGTTAAGGTATTTAATTAGTTTAAAGATGTCGTTCTTGTAAACAACCAGTTAATACTTAAGACTTAATTATACTTATGTCGTTGGAGTATTACATTTTCTAATACTTAAGACTTAATTATTCCCAGTATATTCCTCACTTGTGCTCTGCAAAAAAAACAAATTAGACTGTTTTTGGTCAACTTATGGATACATAATAGAAAATAATCGCAAACACTTTTACACAGCCAAATCAGAACCAGATCGATCGTAAAATTGCAAATATATATTAGATGATCAGATCCTAAAACAACTCTTATGTGCAAGCAATCGTGACCACTAAAATACATAAAGATGTTAAAAAAAAAAAAAGAGTCACACTAAGCTGCAATATAGATGGATATATATTATTTTTAACGATGATCCCTTCAAGATTAATCGAGTAGTCTAACTAAGTTATGTAATTGTCTAATCAAAAATTACTATTTAATTAATTCTGAAAGCTTACTAAGCTATCTATCTTAGTAGCAAAAGTAATGATTATTTCATGTACATATATATTTTGAGACAAAGAAGAGTTTGAATTCGGAAAATAACATTGACGACATCATTTCTATGTTCTTGTACATAAGATTATATAAACTTATAAAATTAATACTTGACATTCACATTGGTGAAACATACATGTTAATTATACAACTGACAAACAAATAACATTGACGACATCATTCTATGTTCTTGCACATAAGATTATATAAACTTATAAAATTAATACTTGACATTCACATTGGTGAAACATACATGTTAATTATACAACTGGCAAACATATAAAATCTCTTTACCTAAAACTCTACAAATGTCAATTATAAATTTGTTGGCCGTCTTGAAATGTTCGAATTTGAAAAAAAAAAGTATTTAATTGGATATATTTAAAAACCTTTAGAGGCCATTTCCATACCATCCCCATCGATTACTTCCTCTGTTTGCCAAAAATATATTTTATAATTAAATTATAAATTATCCAGGACTGCAAGATCCGTATCGGTGATTACCAACAAAATTCATATATCTTGTTTAAGTGTTCCTAAAGTCAATAGACAGATTATATATAATCCAAACCCTATGAGTCTACTTCATATATATTTCTATAATTTTATTCTGAGCTCATGTAAATTTCTTCAATAAAGAGCAATCATTGTTTGCTAAGTAATCAAATATATTTTTAACACTTGGTCCAAACATATATATATATATATATATATATATATATATAGTCATGATCAGAGAGATAGCCAATATATATATAGTCATGATCAGAGAGATAGCCATCTCCGCAACTGTATTTCCCCACCCATTTACACAAAACAAGATGGTAAAATCATTCACAACTAAAAATAAATAATCATTTGGTTACTTGTGGCATACGTAAGTAAAATTGATTAGATGGTGGTGATGCTGACGAAAGAAATGAGTGGTGGTGGTCCAAAGGTGGAAGAGGGTCAGCAATTTGTGGCGGTGGCCGTGAAGGGTTTGATCGGAGACAAACTAGGCGGCGCAGGAAGTCGCCGTGCTGTAAGGTGGGCCGTCGATAATCTTTTACCTAAGGCTGATAGGTTCGTGTTGGTTCACGTTATCCCAACCATTACTTCTATTCCTACCCCTAGTAAGTCTCTCCCCTAATCAAACATAATTTCAAAAATTTCTTGTTTTTGGTTTGCTTAAAACTAATGTATCTATATATATAAAGTTAGCTTTTTCTCTCTTCTCCTTAAGCCACATCATCATCCTAATCATCATCCACCTCATTTTATTATTTAATTTTAAAATTAATTATATCATTTTATCATATAATTTTAAGATTTAGACCTATGTAAATAAATTTTCCAAAAAGGAATATGAAAAATCTTTTCTTATATTATACATTATAAAACTAAAAAAGATAATTGATTAAAAAGTTAAAGAAACTTACTAATTATCGATTATACTAACAAATATATAAATAATAGATTATAGTTTTTAAGTGTTTAAAATATATATATATATCAATTAAAAATAATATGACACAAAATTCGATTATATTTACACAATTTAAATCTAAATTATAATGAGATTTAACGGGAATAGAACAAAAAGTAAGAAATATTGAGTATATAAATCTATCTAATTTATGTCTCACAAAATTTTCCAACATAAATGAGATAGCTAGGAACGAAACATGAATTATCATTTAAAAAAACGTATAAAAAGGTAAAAAAAACCAAAAAATTATTTAAAGGTTTCCAATATGAATTTAACTAATATTTTCCAATACAACACATATGTTAAACTAATAAACAAAATAAAAAGTTAACTATATTTAATAAAAATTAAAATAAATAAACAATATTAAATGAAATAAACCAAATATAAAGTAAATTATACTAATATGTTAAATTTAAAAATTGTTCCATATGAAAAAACAAAAAATATATAAAACATAAAATCAGAAACAAATATATAATAGTATAAAAATGATCACAACGAGATATAAATTACGTCAAATCCCAAAAAAATGTAAAAAAAAATAAATATATATGACAATATATAAAGAGATAATGTAAACAATAAAAAATACAACAATTCACCCGAAACCCACAAATCATTTTCAAATTTCAGGCCAACATATTAAAAACACCAACAATATTAACATCTATATCTATATCTGGTAAAAACCCTAATAGCACATGTTTATGAGTTTCTCAATGATTCTCCACCGCACTTCCGTTTATACTCACACTTCGCCTTATACTATACACACTTAATTTCTCAACAACTAATGAAGCTAAACTCAATAGGTTTTCTATACAAACATAATTTAAGTTAAAAAAAAAAGTATGGTATAGTGAAAAATTTGAGTAGAAAATAAAATACGAACCAATTACTCATAAACAATGTAATAAACTCCCGCGCGTAGCGCGGACAACCGACTAGTATTATATATAGTAGAAGTGAAAGAAACCAAAAGACAAAAGAAATACATAAAACATAATTTCTTTCTTTATGATGTATAACCAAAATTTTGTTTCTTTTCCGAATGTTCATAAATGACTTATATATTTTCTTGGTTATTGATCGGCTATATTTTTATATAACCAAAAAGACAAAAGAATATAAGCAAAACCTTTTTCCTTCTTTCTTTTACATGTTGGTAAAAAAGGGAAATAAATTCATATAGTAATATATAATTAGTTAGTTTTTCTTATTTCTTCTAATGAGGTAAAACGATCGGTTAGTAAGAATTTTTTTGATATTACATATGTAGTTTTGGTTGTGGATCGACTAGTACATTTATATTTTAGAGTAATGTTTACAAGAATGGCGTTGTTGCAGCCGGAGAGAGGTTGCCGGTGGAGGAAGTGGAGGAGAGGGTGGTGGAAATGTATGTGAGAGATGTGAAAAAAGGATTTGAAAAAGTCTTTGTTCCCTTCTTGAAAATGTGCAAGAGTACTAGTGTTACCAAGGTTGGTTCATTTCATTTTCAGTCCAAATTTATATACAAATGTAGATAAATTCAGGGTCAAACTGTAGATTTCCTCAACCTTTGTGACCTTCAGGTAGAGACTCTATTGCTAGAGTACGACGATCCTGCGAAAGCACTTCTCAGATTCATATCCAAATCAGGTGTTAACAGTTTGGTTATGGGATCATTCACTTCAAACATATTCACCCGGTAAAAATTACATAGCTCGATGCCTCGATCGGTTTGGTTTACATTCTTCTCAATCAACTCATACACTAACGTGTCGGGTTATTCGGTTTAGGAGAACAAGAGGTCCAGGAGTACCATTGACTGTCTTAAAATACGTACCAGGAACATGTGAAGTATACATTGTGTGTAAAGACAGAATCACTACAAAATCTATGGATACGTTACTCATCGGAGGTAACCATTTTTTTTGTTTTCTTTCCCTTTTTTCTTCCTAAAGACTTTGTCTTTAATCTTGTTAACCGTCTAATCATCAGAGCCGTGCACAAGTCCATCCGCAGCCTCGACTAATTCCCATGTCTTCCTGAGAGACTGGGCGGCTAGTTTCCATAGTGTACGGTCTCAAACGTTACCCGATCCTCTTCATTCTACAGGTATATTACACATACTGTAAATTAAAAAAAGGTTCAAATTAGACTTTGACTTGAACCATGCATGGCTGAGGTTTTTTTCTCTTTCTTTTGGATGTTGAAGAGGCAGGCACGAGGAGGTCAGCATCAGCCAGAGAGCTGAAACTAGATGCATTAAGCCTTCCTGATAATAGACCCCAAACGACGTCAACTCCAACTAGTAAGGCTTCTAGTACAACATTTCAAGACATTTTAAGGAGGCGTGGAGGATCAGATATACCGCAGCTAAATTACTCAGATTTTGATGAGACTTGTACCGAAACTCAATCCAATCTTGAGAACAACGTTAGCGAACAGAGAAGCTCTGGTTCCCAACCCGTGACATCAAGAAAATCCAAGAAGGTTACCTTACTAGCCTATCATGTTTTGGTGCAATGATTAGACTAGTAAAGAGAGTTTTGAATAATTTGGTGTTGTTTGATAGGTTGAGATTGAAACAGAGGTCGAGCGTTTGAAGAAGGAGTTACAAAGTACGGTTGTTAAATATAAACAAGCTTGTGAAGAGCTTTCCTCCACACAAAGCAAGGTACACAAATATATATATAACATCCGTCTCTGAATCAAAATCATTTTGCTTGCTTGTTCCCTAAGTAAAGTGTTTGTTTTGGGGTTTCTGCTAGGTTCAAATGCTTTCCACTGAATGTTCGAAAGAAGCTAGACTAGTGAACAATGCCGTGGAGAAAGAAGCATTGCAGAGGAAAACCGCGGCGCTGGAGAAAGAGCGGCACATGAAGGCGGTGAAAGAGGTTGAAGCTGCGAAAGCGTTGCTTGCAAGAGAGTTTTGTCAGCGACAGATCGCGGAGGTGAATGCTTTAAAGACTTACTTGGAGAAGAAGAAAGTGATCGATCAGCTTTTAGGTCTCGATCACCGGTACAGGAAATACACAATTGAGGAGATTGTTACAGCCACCGAAGGATTCTCACAGAAAAAAGTGATTGGAGAAGGAGGATATGGCAAAGTTTACCGTTGTAGCCTTGATAGCACGCCGGCGGCTGTTAAGGTTGTCCGGCTAGATACACCGGAGAAGAAACAAGAGTTCTTGAAAGAGGTAAGTAACTAATGAGTAATGTGACCATTACTTAAACTATGTCTTGTTTCGGTTAAGCTTATGGTTTGATTCGGTTGATTTCAACTCTATAGGTTGAGGTTCTAAGCCAACTCCGACACCCACATGTGGTTCTTCTCCTCGGAGCTTGTCCGGAGAATGGTTGTTTGGTTTACGAGTATTTGGAGAATGGAAGCCTCGAGGAATATATATTTCACAGGAAAAATAAACCGCCTTTGCCTTGGTTTATCCGGTTTAGGGTAATTTTCGAGGTAGCTTGCGGTTTAGCCTTCTTGCACAGCTCAAAACCGGAACCAATTGTTCACCGCGACCTAAAACCGGGAAACATCTTGTTAAACCGGAACTATGTGAGCAAAATCGCGGATGTCGGATTAGCCAAGCTGGTTACAGATGTTGCACCGGAAAATGTCACGATGTACCGACATTCGGTTCTTGCTGGTACATTGCATTACATTGATCCGGAATACCATAGAACCGGAACAATTAGAACAAAATCGGATCTTTACGCTTTCGGTATAACCATTCTTCAGCTGTTGACAGCTCGTCAGCCGAACGGGCTTGTACCAGCGGTCGAAAACGCGGTAAAGAAAGGAACGTTAACCGACATGCTAGATAAATCGGTTACCGATTGGCCTTTGGCTGAAACCGAAGAGTTGGCTAGGATCGGTTTAAAATGTGCGGAATTTCGATGCCGAGATAGACCGGATCTTGAATCGGAAGTTATACCGGTTTTGAAACGGCTACTAGAGACAGCAAGTTCGAAAATAAAGAAAGAAGGAAGCAATTTACGTGCACCAAGTCATTACTTTTGTCCAATCATACGGGTAAGGAAAAGCTCACCTGGTTCGGTTTACGATTTCAATAACCGGAAATTTGAAGTAGCTTTTGATTTTGAAGTATGTTTATGTTATTATTATACAGGAGATAATGGAGGAGCCAGAGATTGCAGCCGATGGATTCACATACGAGAAGAAAGCAATCTTAGCGTGGCTTGAGAAACACAACATTTCACCAGTGACTCGACAAAAGCTCGACCACTTCAAGCTTACACCAAACCATACACTCCGGTCTGCGATTCGCGATTGGAAATCAAGAATCCGGTTTTCTAATGATAGTGTTTAATACAACTGCCTAATATGTTTTCTCCTTGATTTGAAGTTGCAGTATTTTTTAGTTAATTATACATGCATGTAAATTATATATGGATTGTAAATTGTGATATTTATGTGATAGACTAAAAAAAAAGAGTTATGGTGGTTTGGACTTTGGATTATGTTTGTAAACCCATAAAAAATGAAAATTTTAGTTTGTTGAACATTACATTTGGTTTCAAGGTGAACACAAACTCCAAATTCTTCGTGAACGTATAATCTCATCATCCTTACGCATCTTTATGAATAAATATTTTGTGATAGAACTATGTGACCCTTATCAATAAGATACAATATTTTTTTTTATTATCAATAAGTTTATGAATTATGACAGTGTAATAATTTATATAGAACCAAACCTTAAATGAGGGATCAACTTGTTCAAAATTAATCTCAGCACCAATACTATCTTCCTTAGCCAAAAATTAAGATTCCACTTCCATATGAAACAAGCATACACATTTTACATAGCTAAGCTCAAATTAATTTGATGTTAAAAAAAAAAGAAAAGAAGAAAAACTCAAATTAATTCACAAAATAATATTTTTGGTATATATATATACATATATATATAATTTTTTATTATTAAAATTCTATGATATGTGTGTGTTTATATAATTTGTTTCCTATTCCTTGGTGAGATATAAGTTTCCACTTCCCACATATGAAACATGCAAATATTTATATACCTAAACTCAGACAAAAATGACTTTTTTAAATAATTTTAGTATAAATTATGTTTTATTAAAATTCTATAAAATTAATGTATTACCACATATTTAATTTTCATATTAATTTTTCACTTTTCAAAATTTACTATGATTAACGTTATTCATAAAATATATAGCTTAAATTTTACCATCACAAGTAAAAAATGGTTTACAGTAATTTCGAATTGGTTCAAAACATATAAAATTCATCCACTTAGGTACTCCACGTGTCGGGCCTTAATTTGTAAATGATTTGTATCTTTCCTTTTTCCTGAATATAGCAAAAATAGTAAAACCAAAGGTAATAATTTCTGATTCCTTTTTTTGTTTTCCTGAATTCCAAAATCCAAACTTGTAAATTGCCGTTTGAGCGATGGAGAAGAAGAGACTTGTATTCTTTCTCGCAATCATAATATTCTCACAGTTGATCGAGCGAAGAGAGATGCGAGAGGTTCTCTGAATTTAGAGAGAGAGAGGCTAAAGGATTGTTTTTTTTTTCTTTTCTTGGGAGAGAAACCAAAAAAAATGGAGAATCAAGACGAGGAGGTGGTGACGAAGGTGACATCGGAGGCTGAGGAGAATTTTGAGGATGAAGGGTTGGTTTCAAATTCAACATTGGAGAAAGTTGCTGCAGCGAAGAAGTATATCGAAGACCATTACAATAGGCGCATGAGACATATTCAACAACGTAAAGAAAGGTGGAGTTTTGTTTGCATATCATCTGTTTGTTGATATTCCTAAGAGAAGAAAAATTAGCTTCTTCTGTTATTATTTGAATGGTGTTGTTGTAGGAGCTGTAATGTTTTTGTTTCATAATGAGAGGAGTTTGATCCAATGAGAGGTCTTTCAATGGCCATTTTTTTTTGTTTGCAGGCGTTTGGTGCTAGAACAAAAGATAGCATCTTTGGATGTATCAGAAAAAGAACAACTTGAATTGCTGGAGGATTTGCAGAGGAAAGAGACAGAGTATACTAGGTTAATGAGGAACAGGCTTTGCGTTGATGATTTCGATATTCTCTGTATTATCGGCAGAGGGGCTTTTGGTGAGGTTAGTATTTTTGGGGTATACCAACTTTGAACAATCATTGCAATTAGATGGCACTTTAACCATTTGTAAATGTGGTATCTTTCTTAGGTACGACTATGCCGTGAGAAAAAGACAGGCAACATTTATGCCATGAAGAAGCTAAAGAAGTCTGAAATGCTTAGTAGAGGGCAAGTGAGTCTTAGAATTGTCTCATTGTTTCTCTTTTTTTTCTTACATTTAAAATTTGGGCTTTAAGTCTAGGATACCCTTTTGGTTGATCGTTCGTTCTAAATAGGTTGAACATGTTAGAGCTGAGAGAAACTTGCTAGCAGAAGTGGCTAGTGACTGTATTGTGAAGCTTTACTATTCGTTCCAAGATCCAGAATATTTGTACCTTATTATGGAGTATCTCTCTGGTGGTGATGTGATGACTTTGCTTATGAGGGAAGAGACTTTGACTGAAACTGTGGCTCGGTTTTACATTGCCCAAAGTGTTTTGGCTATTGAGTCGATACATAAATATAACTATGTTCACAGGTTAGTCTACTTTTTTCTGGTCTAATTATGCTGAATGCAGCGTTATATTGTGTGTATATACTTTGAGGTAGATCTTTTGCAGGGATATAAAACCAGACAATCTTCTGTTGGACAAGTATGGTCATATGAAGCTATCAGATTTTGGTCTTTGTAAGCCTCTCGATTGTAGAAATATTTCGGCTATGAACGTAAATGAACCTTTGAATGATGAGAATATAAATGAATCAATCGATCGTGATGAGAACTGCCCAATAGGACGTCGTGGAAGGCGTTGGAAGAGCCCTTTGGAACAGCTGCAACATTGGCAGATAAATCGAAGAAAATTGGTATAGTATTAAACTCTGTTTCAAGCCTTTTATTCATGTCACATCTGCGGCATGGTTTAAAATGCTCCGTTGGGGTGTGCTTTTAAAATTTCATTTGGGGTTATGTCTAAATCTTCTGGCTTTCGTGTTCACTTGTTTTGAACACAGGCATATTCTACGGTAGGTACCCCAGATTATATTGCACCTGAAGTGTTACTGAAGAAGGGATACGGTGTAGAATGTGACTGGTGAGTCACCAAAAATATCTTATAGATTTATTCTCCATAGAACTCTTCCTATACTGTGTGTGTCAGTAGGGTTATTTTACGTTGACATAACATAAATATTCATGATCAGCTTGTCATCTTTTCTTGCTGCTTGTGTACTAGTTGATCGGCACATATATTTTCTTTAATCGACTCGTATGATTGATTTGACTGCAGGTGGTCGTTGGGGGCCATTATGTATGAGATGCTTCTTGGTTATCCACCATTTTACTCTGATGACCCCGTAACAACATGTAGAAAGGTCAATTTGCTACTAAATTTATAGTCTTTTCCCCTTTGCTATTATGTCATTTTAAATTTACTTGTTGATGCTAAGATGAGAGTTTAAGATGATGGAAGCTTTCAATGTTGGCTCTGTTTCTCTTAGGATCTTCACACCTTCTTTTCTCTCTATTATAATTTGACATTTCGTGGAATTTAGATTGTGAGCTGGAGAACTCATTTAGTATTCCCCGAGGAGGCAAGGTTGACACCTGAGGCAAGAGATCTCATTTGTAGGTTGCTTTGTGATTCTGAGCATAGGCTTGGTTCTCATGGAGCCGGAGCCGAGCAAATTAAAGTATGTAAATATAATAACAAAGACTGTTCAGTCTTCACTTTTTCTGTTACATCCTGTTTTGACAAATGAAGACACATCTAGGCTCATCCTTGGTTCAAAGATGTCGAATGGGAAAAACTATATGAGATGGATGCAGCTTTTAAGCCAGTGGTCAATGGAGAACTTGATACCCAGAACTTTATGAAATTCGATGAGGTAAAAATCTGCCATTTCAAGGATTAAAAAGTTAAAGTGCTCTTTCTCACTGGTGTTATATCCTGATTCTATCCTTAGGTGGATTGTCCAAGACCAGCAAGAACAGGATCTGGACCGTCCTGGAAGGTACAGCAATTCTCAGTAAAAATTTATCACGCTTCACTTGTACCGAGGATCTTGCTCTGTACTTATCGAGGACCTTTGTTTATTTTTTGGCTGTAGGTGAGCATAACCCCTCAAAATATCAATTTCGTGGGCTATACATACAGAAACTTTGACGCTGTCCGTGGTGCTCGCCATTCTTTAGGTGCAACAAATGTTTGTTTTTTCATTTCTTTTGCGGACTTACATCACTTTAGCTTACCTTTCTCATAGTTTCTTGGAAATATGAATGCAGATATCAAAGGAGGCATTTCGCCACCACGCTCATCAACTGACTCTACTCGAAGTAAGTCTAATTATTAACATTTAAAAATGGTCTTCCAGAGTCCTCGCCTCGGACAATACTATTACCAAAGTGTCAGTTTAAACTGTCCGTGCTTTAATGTTACTACATTTCTCAGGTGACTCAGCAATTGATTATGCAAAACTCTCAACTGGTGAGGATGGTTCCCAACAGTGATCTTCTTGCTTTAGATTTGTCGAGACACCAAAGCAGCATGAATCAATCCAGACATCGTTTTCTTCTACAAAGCAAATCCTCTGTAACTATTTTTGTTGATTCATGAACCCTTTTTGTTTTTGATTCATAATCTCGGTTGCAGAGAGAAGAGAAGATGTGGAGAAATCTCTCTGTCTTCTTTTTTTCCGCAAGCTGTGTTTTTTCTATGTTTTGTATTATTTTGCATCTGCCCAGAGAACCGTTGTTCATGTATATTTCTCGTACCGCCTTTTTTCCTAGTGGCATTTTCCAACCGTTTCTTCCCGCCAGTGGTTGTTGTTAACTTAGTTATTATTATAACCAACATAGATTATCCCAAAAACACTTTATTTTTTTCTTCTTTTAACAAACAAGATTCAAGAATTCTCTTAATGAAATGTAAATAGCATCTAATTTTCTTCTCAACAAGATCTAGTAACTTTTTAAGAGTTGGTATTCTCTTCAAATAATATACCTTTTCTTTATCTAGAAAAGTGTAGGAGTTTTGAATGGTAATCTTCTCTTTAGGTCCTTTCTTCATGAATCAATATCCATGGTGTAAGACTATTATAGTATTTATAGAAACTAATAGTGTAAATTTATAATCATTAGCCAAAAAAACCATTGTGAAATTAAAAGAAACTAGATTTTACCTCGTGGTACACCACGGGGCTAGTAGTTTATGCATATCTGCTATGTAAAACCTTAGCCGTTATAATTTATATATACGTACGGTATATACAAAATTTGTTTAGACAATTTTATTTTTATTTATTTAAAAGATTTATCATATATCTGTATTTATTTTAAAGGTT